CTCTATCAGCTATTGCTTCGGGAATGTATGGCGTGATTCATACTCATAAGGGACAATTGTAGACGCCGTTGTTCAACTGTCTGCCCTCTACAACCGCTGCAAGCCTTTTGTTTCAAGATAACTTTAAACAACAGTCATAAAGGGGTTGGCAATAGCTGTTATTAACCCTATACCTACTACCTTTACCTTCTATAAATCAGAGCGAATTTGGTGCTTTCTTGGCAGGGATATGCTTATGATGTTTGTCAAATCAAGGTCAATCAAGGTCAATCGCCCTAAAGTATGTCTCTTTTCCGTCCCGACCTTCTCGATACTCCAGATCACACATGCTCACCCCATTCAGAGCGAAAACATCTGCCTTCAGCTATTCCTATTTCCCACGACTTGTCACAGTCTGGAATAATCTGGGCCCTGATCTTCATAATCTGGGAGTCCTAGCCAATCAGCTGCCCAACATTTAGCTTTCAAGCGTCAACTTGTTAAAGTGTCATATACCAGATTCAATGAGCACTTCAGTCCTGACGCTCCGTGCTCTTGGTCGTCCGCATGTGGGTGCGCCTCCTGTACGGCTTTAAGACGCCACTAGTATTAGTATGGTTTTCAACATTGTTCCAATGTATATATTGTATTATTGATTGTTCGATATTGTATCATGTGTATTATTGTAATGTATTACTGTATTATTGTAATGTTTGGGAGGACAACTAGCAAAGGTGTATATTCACCTGTTTTGTCCTCCCATCCAGTTGTCTGGAAAATTCTAATAAATAAATAAACACTAGCAAACCTGCTAAGCTTTGTACAATTCAGATTCAGACCTTCGACTGAATAAAACCCTTCAGATTACCTTTAGGATTTGCTAAGCATGAAATTATAGCTAAGATCCAGTGAAGTAATATCTTAGCCTTACTTATGGAGCCACAATGCAGCTACAGTGCAAATGGAAACTGTCAGCATTGCCTTAAGCTTGCATAATAAGTGAAATGCATTTAAGACAAAGGTTCGAATTTGATCAAATTCAAGTTAAGGCTAAGTTGTAAAACTCAAATCACACGTATTTAGCGATATAATATTATCTACATGTAAAATATCAGAATAACAGCTCTCATTTTTAATTTAATCTGGATTTTAGCCTTCAATTTTGCAGTTACTCATGTACCGTGTATGGCCCATTATATCTGTTACAGATACATGTTGTACTATCTAGACCAGTTTTGTCTTCTTTCAAATCCAGTAATTTTACATTCTAATTGAACTCCAATGAGTGACATGGTTCAAAATTGCTGTACACAGTGCATATCAACAAAGCTGTTTTGTGTTGAAAGACATTTTCCTAGATGTACCATAAATAATTAAACATTGGTAACTCTATATGACAAAAAACAGTGATGCTATTTTGATGAACAAATTCTGGCTCATCTACATGAATCATGATGCAAAATGAATTGAGTATACTGAAAAATTCACCACATAGTCTGTAACATTTGGATATAGTTTTCTTGATACAAAAATGTATGTCATTGCTTAGTTTTTATAATAAGAAATTTGTAGGAAATAATGTTTAAGAAATTGCAAATGGCTTGTGGCTATGGAAATCCATAGGCACACTACAGAACATCCCAAATGTTAAAAGGAATGCAAATAAACTATCCACTGCACTACATCTATCCAATGGCTAGTGATGGCTTTCAAGATGACAAATCAATACAACTAGTGTGGCCATTACAAATATGGCGGTACTATCAGTAAACAGGGAATTGCAGGACAGGCGGTTACGACTCAGAGAAAAACCATTCCACATTCCTGTGCTTCTGGAGCAGTTGCAGTTCCAGAAAATTAATTGCAATTCCTAATGCCTACGTACTACCTAAATGCTATGGCCTGGTGCTAGTACCTGGCCCTTATTAAGGACTTGCCATGCAGAATTATATTTTTATTTACAATATTTATTTATTTTAATATCTATTTTGATATTTACATCATGTGCCACACCTGAGGGAGGATTCACAAAACAGGTGACTATTACCTTTTTAATGTGTCAACCCTGAGACCAGACTGTAAGGTATGAACCACTCACACTGGGATGGAACCTATTCGTTTCTAAAATATGCATAGTTATTTATAAATGCCATTAGCATTGAGTTTTAGCAGCTTCGATTTTCACTTGCTGTTTGGGAAGAGGTAAACCTACTGCTTAAATTGTGCCTGTAGGCACAGGATAACCTAAGGCCAGAAGTCTAATGTACAGCATCTTTGAATATGAAACAAGAAAATCTACTTTTACAATTAGTCATAATGTTGCACACAAGATGTATGATATTCTCGAGTTAAATTAATTGTACTTTTGATTTCTGGGATAATTGATTCCAGATTGGCTCCATTTCCAGGGTACCATCTGTAGCAGTATAAAGTTTGTAACACAATAGGGACATACACAATTTATTACAAGGTTGGGAAACAGTCTAGTCTGCAGGACTTTGTGGTATTGATTGTACAATTAGCTTATCGATAGGAAACATCTGGACCACAGGAATTACATGTCATGATTGCTTTCTGAAACAGAACTTATCCTAGTCACAAACATGATCCAAATTACAGCAACAATTATTGGACCAGGTGGGGAAACTGGAAAAACTAAATGTGCCCACATATACACACAAACCTTATTGTATTAATCAGTAACTCAATGCATTTTACGACAGAATATAACATAATGTGATAACTGATCTGTATTGTAAAACCCATTTGCCAGTCTGTCATATTTGGTCAATAGACTAGCAGTGTGACATTTGTTGTTATTATCCATTAATGATCTGCACACCAAAATCAATCAGAAATGGTCCGTTCTTTCTATAGATTGCAATTTGGATAAACTACATTAGAAAGGAATGGCCTGTCTAATATTTTCCCTTGCACATGTACAATATGATAGTAATCTCCAAGCAAATACTTTTTTGTATAAGTAAGATCTTTCCCTCACTCCTCATATCTGCTTGGAGATGACAATATTATGTGGTCTCCTATCTCCAGAAATGTATGGTTACTTTCAGGGCACTACAGTATAAGTACAGTAATTATTCAGGCACATGGAAACAAGGTCTGAGATTTATTTTGCTTTAGATAGCACGGATGTCCCACTCTACTGACTCTATCCTTGCAAAGCCCTTTGTGCAGCACTAATCCAGCACCACCTGGCAGTATGTATGCATGGTAAATATCCAAATTATTGTAATATTAGCTCGCTCTCTCTCTCTATCTCTCTCTCTCTCTCTA